GGTCTCTGGTCTAAATTCCAAAATTCCTTTCTATACATCTATTGTTCCATTGTTTGCTTAGTAAAGCTATACAGTACTATCACATTAGATTACATATTAGCAGTTAGTTCAGTATTGCTGTTTGTCTACCTTAGTGTGTAAAACTATGGATCCATGCTTGACAAATAGTTTATATAGTCATTTTTCTCATTTCTTAATTAATAGTAGCTATTAAAATTAATTACCATTGATTCTCCATACAATAGTCCAATAATAGTCCAATATTTTCCTCCAACAAAATAAAAAAACACAGTTATTCCAATTTTTTTTTCTATTTTTTAACCCACTCACAAAAAACATGCACATACATCAAGGGACATCACCATTGGTATTCCATGAAAATTCCATGTAAATTATTACCAGAAATTTGAATCTTTATGCTTTTCCTAAAGTCTTAGTACATTTTTCTCAGGTTTGATTTTATTGAAATATTTTTGCTCATCTGGAGGCGTGCAGCTTTAATGCATGAAAGCTCACATTGGTTCTTCTTTTACCTGTAAAACTAGAAAATCTGCATTGGGCTTTTACATTGATGATGTCACTTATTGTTATACCAAAACAATAGTTCAACATTATTTATGATGACAAAAAAATAAACAATATACTTTAACTTACGAATGAAACATGCTAGCTAACATAATCCTCTCGTTGGTTGTTAACTTTGGTCTTCCAAACTTAATACTGATAGGAAAATTTTCCTCGGCAGATAGAACCTCCAGTATATCTCTTCCATCTTGTAGGTACTTTCCCTCTGCAGGGATACCATTGATAGACAACAGTGTATGACCAACTGGGAAAATAAAGAAAAGCATATATGATATTTCTAATAAGTTATTCAATTTAGACGTAATAAAGAACTTACAGTACATCTTGATAAATCCAAATGAATTTAAAAACTGGGGACTTTGATTTTCATTTAAAATCACAAATATTTAAAAACTTTCATTTGTTGTCTTGTGACATATTTTTTATATAAAATAGTTAATAGTTTCTATTATAGCACTGCATGCAGTGTTATTGCTCATCTATTAAAATTCAAAGTTAGCAATGAAGTCACCACCAGACAGAGACCACACTTAACTTTAGACCACACTAACTTTTTCTAACTTTATCTAAAGTCAAACACACTGAAGAAAGAATATTGCAGTAAAATATACTCATAGAAAACAAAACTGTCTTGCACAAATATTAATTCAAATGTCATATTTGACCTTGATGGTCAAGGTAATTCAAAGGTCAAGGTCAAATTTGAATTATATCATTGTCAGCTATGTCATAAGTGTTCTTTTGTCCAGAAATGAACCAAATCCATAAATAAATAACAAAGTTATAACAATTCAAATAATTTGACCTTGATAGTACAGTTTAATTATTAATTATAGCAAAAAAAAAAAAAACACAACCCAAAGTCAAAAAATTTACCTTCAATATCAAGGCCATTGATGATTAAAGGTCATAATCAATTTAGTTTACAAAAAGGTCTTGTCCTATGGACAATTGTGATCAAGTATGAAGACAATCCATTCATAAAAAACAAAATTAGCAAATTATCAAGCAAAATTCAAATATTTGACCTTGAAGGTCTAGGTCCTTTATGAATGAGGGTCAAGTTTAGTTAAGTCCAAAAGCTTGAGGCAGGATATTTTTCTCATTCTGTGACAGATTTATCAATTAGATTAAAAAAACATTGGAATTGGGAATATATTTGTTTAAAATATGATAACTTTGGACAAGGTTTTTTCAAATTAAGAGTATTTAGGGTGGCGCAATAGCTTAGTTGCTTAGAACACTCACTCTTGAGGTCCTGGGTTCGATCCTGTGTAACACCCTTGGGATTTTTCAGAGACACTTTCAGTGTTTCCCACCTAACTAGAGGTGTACTGGTAAGAAATCCAGGTATTCCTCGCATGTATCAGTGCTATACACTGGGCATGTAAAAGAACCAAGGGGTCTATTCAATAAGAGCTAGGGATTGGTTCCCGGATTCCCTTGTATCTCATAGCTTTCTCTGAAGTGACTAGTCTATAGTCATGTCTATGTCGGCACAGGCCAATATTGTCTGCATGAGCATCTGCATTTTAGACTGACCCATCTACAACCATTTACTTTACACTGCTCAATCAGGTTTCAGGGCACATCATTCATGTGAGACAGCTCTTACAAATATAATTGATAATTGGATCAGTGCTCTGAATGATGGCAAACTTGTCGGAACTGTTTTTCTAGACTTATCAAAAGCCTTTGATTTAGTAAACCACCAAATTCTTCTAGAAAAACTACCTTTCTATAATTTCTCTTCACATACTATAGATTGGATAAGATCTTATCTATCAGACAGGTCACAAAAAGTCAATGTGTCTGGTGTTTTATCTGAACCAGCCGAAGTTGTCTCAGGAGTGCCTCAGGGTTCAGTCCTTGGGCCCCTACTATTTTTGATATACATAAATGACATCCATCTTCATGTTAAACAGTCAACTACCGATATCACGGTAGGGAATCACGTGACTTTTACGGTTACGCGTACAGACAATATGGCGGCCTAAAAACCTCGATTCACATGTGTTTTTCAGGTAATTCTTTATTATATCCCTTTTACTTACATACGAGACCTGTTGCAGCCTACGCGGAATAAAGAATTGTTGCCGCCTATACCTTATTTTCCACCTCTGTGCTCATAGTTTTTACAAACACTCAAAAATTCAACAGAAATTTTGAATGTGAACAATTATATTTCGGGTAACATTCACGCAAAATTTGTATTTTTTATGAATTTGATTAAACTACGTCGAGTTAGCAAAGAGAAAATGTTCATAGAATTTCTTTATTTGAAAATGTAAATATTAGGCATGTTAAATGTTGACAGGTCATTTTCTATTCCATTACACGAGAGAAAAATGATTTGGGTAACTCCCACGCATACTTTTATTGTTGATAACTCCCACGCAATATTTCATGTGCAGGCAATATCTATGCAGGTTATAGCCTAGATATTGATTGAAAAAAATCATGATTGATGCATTTAGCATCAAACTTTCATAGAATATTGAATAATATTAAAAATACCGCCAATAGGTCCTTGATAGAAGTAACCCAGCAGGCACATCAACGGTGAACAACGTTGAAGTATGGTCAGATTTCAACTTTGAAATAACGTTAGATTTATGTTCGAATTTGAAAGTTTATAAAACGTTGAAGTTCAACGTTGGCACAACGTTGAAGTTTCAATGTCATTTCAACATACTTTAATTCTAATATAAAGCAAAGTACTGTAACATGGTTTAACAAAAAATTCAAGACACTATTAAATACTTCAGCAATTTTATTTCAAAACTACAGTTCAAGTGTAGCTTAAATTCAAACGATTTAAGAAGTCCTTTTAGTTTAACAATTAAGCTACAATCTGTTACAATCTACCACTAGTACTTCTTCTAGAGCTCTCTGGGTATGTCTTAAGTGTTTCATGATGGTGTTTGAATACTTCTACTGATTCTGCAAATAAAATAAGAAGTTACTAGTTGACTTGGTCAATCTCAAATTATATATAATTAATCAACTTAGTGATTTGTTTTATCTTAAGATAATTATCTTCTAAGATTTACATAATAAAAAAAGCATAGAAATTAAGGTACAGCTGAAGTTTCATATTGACAGTAAATTATGTACAAAAACAACAAAAACTTTTTAAAAACAAGAGGGCCATGATGGCCCTGAGGTCGCTCACCTGTATATAGCCCCCCCTCCCCCCCCCCCCCCCCCCCCCCCCCCCCCCCCCCCCCCGAGCCAATTTTTACCCAAGGGCTTTTATTTGAACAGACTTGGTAGACACCCATAAGAAGATGTTTCATGCTAAACATCTAAGTTCTAGCTCATTGGGTTTTTTAAAAGAAGCTTTTTTAAGTTTTTACTATACACATATAGTTAAAAACAATGACACCTCTGGGGCAGGGCCAGTTTTGACCCCAGGGCTTTTATTTGAACAAACTTTGTAGATATTTACTTAAAAATGTTTCATGTATAATATCTTAACTCAAGCTATTTGGGTTTTTTCAATGAAGATTTTTAAGTTTTTGCTATACACATATAAGGAAAATCAATGACCCCCGGGGCCGGCCAGTTTTGACCCCAGGGCTTTTATTTGAACATACTTGGTAGACACCCATTAGAACATGTTTCATGCTAAATATCTTAGCTCTAGCTCTTTGAGTTCTTTAAAAGAAGATTTTTTAAGTTATAACTATATGCATATAGGGAAAATCAATGACCCCCTGGGGTGGGGCCAATTTTGACCCCAGGGCTTTTATTTGAACAAACTTGGTAGACAATCATTAGAAGATGTTTCATGCTAAATATCTTAGCTCTAGCTCTTTGGGTTCTTTAAAAGAAGATTTTTAAAGTTTTTACTATATGCATATAGGGAAAATCTATGACCCCCTGGGGCAGGGCCAATTTTGACCTCAGGGCTTTTATTTGAACAAACTTGGTAGACACTGATTAGAAGATGTTTCATGCTAAATATCTTAGCTCTAGCTCTTTGGGTTCTTTAAAAGAAGATTTTTTAAGTTTTCACTATATGCATATAGGGAAAATCAATGACCCCCCGGGGCGGGGCCAATTTTGACCCCAGGGCTTTTATTTGAACAAACTTGGTAGACACTCACTAGAAGATGTTTCATGCTAAATATCTTAGCTCTAGCTCTTTGGGTTCTTTAATCGAAGATTTTTGAAGTTTTTACTATAATTTTATTATGCATATATGGAAAATCAATGACCCCCTGGGGCAGGGCCAATTTTGACCCTAGGGCTTTTATTTGAACAAACTTGGTAGACACTCATTAGAAGATGTTTCATGCCAAATATCTAAGCTCTAGCTCTTACAGTTCTTTAAAAGAAGATATTTAAAGATTTTTCTTTCGGTTGCCATGGCAACCAGAGTTCTGCATGAAATGGAATTCTTTGAATAATCTTGATAGAGTTTCATACAAAGAGTATTCCTGCCAAGTTTCATTAACATTGGCCTTGCGGTATCATAGAAGATGTCCTTAGAATATTTAAAATGTGGACGGACGACAGACGACGGACGCCATTTGGTTGGCCATCCTAAAAGCTCACCTGCACTTTGTGCAAGGTGAGCTAAAAAGCTATTTAAGTCTGACCTATGATTGGTAAGAAAAACTGCTCCCATCAGTTACGTCAGCATTTTCCCAAGAACAGTCCTTTCCGTATAGAATCTACAGCTGTAATACTCTAATTTTCAGCCAGGACCAGGATCTAGAATATAAAATAGACTTATTATTCCCAATAAATTCACGGCAATTAAACTTAAAATTTAACACTCATCTTTATTATTTAACCTCAAACAGTTTAATCAATATTTGTTTTGATAATGCAATGGATTTAATGTATTTTTCAAACTAATTCACATTTAATTTTACTATCACTAAGATATAAAATTAATACAGCTAAATTGACGAATCGTCTTGGGGCGTAAATTATATGGGGCGAACAACACTTCATCTGCTTATAGGTTACAATAATAAGATAAATAAATTTCAAAAAGGCATGGCTTGTAAAATCATAAATTGCCAAGGATATCAATAACTTCGCGTAAGGCCTACCAAACCCAAATCATTCAATTAGGTCGCGTTTTGATACAAAAGTATCAAATATTAGAAGGAGGTTTTGTATTTCTGTTTTTATTAGTAAAATTACAGTTGTCATTTTTCATATTTTGCAGATATGGAAGGTTCCATCTCGGATATTGTTTGTGATAAATGTGGAAAACATTTCATT